TTCTGAAGCCTGAGTATGAGGAACTTAACCTTCGATTGTACTTAATTTTTAACCCACTTTCATGTAAAAGGCACACCTGGCTGTTAGCTGCCGTGCTGGGTCGAACATATCTAGGTATAAACTAAATGTTTCATGGAGACATCTATAAGAGATTTTTCTTTTAAAACTATTTAATGTGTATGAATGGTTGATATGTATATATGTCTGTGTATCATGTGTGTGAAGTACCCAAGGAGGCCATTAAAGATGGTTGTGAGCCACCATGTGGGTGCTGGGAACTGAACCCAGGTCCTTGGGAACAGCAGCCAGTGCTGTTATCTTCTGAGTCATCTCTCCAGTCCCAAGAGATTTTTTTCTGCTTTTTCAAGACAGGGTTTCTCTGTGTAGCCCTGGTTGTCCCGGAACTCACTCTGTAGACCAGGCTGGCCTCTGCCTTTCAAGTGCTGGGATTAGAGATGTGGGCCACCTATTCTGAGATTATTTTCACAGTAAACCCAACAATATTACTTTTGGAAGCCTCGTTTCTGCTTCTTGGTCTCCCTTATCATTATATCAGCTTGAAATAGACACACTTGTCTGGTTTTTTTTCTTTTTAACAATAAAAAATGTTCATTTATTTTACATGCAGACCACAGTTTTCCCTCTCTCCTTTTGTTTCTTCCCCTCAACTCCTCTCAACTACCCTCTGTCCACATCTGTTTCCGTTCAGAAGGTGTCCTCCCATGGGCGCCAACAAAGCATGGCACACCAAGTTGAGGTGGGACCAAGCTCCTCCCCCTGCATCAAGGCTGGTTGAGGCAACCTAGCACGGGCAATAGGTTCCCAAAAGCCAGCTCAAGTGCCAGGGATAGGTCCTGATTCTACCACTGGGAGCCCCACAGACCAAACTACACAACTGTCACACACATGCAGAGGACCTTGGTTGGTCCCATGCAGGCTTCCTGTCTGTCCAGAGTAGGTGAGCTCCCACAAGCTCAGGTCATCTGTCTCTATGGGTACCCCCATCGTGACCTTGACCTTCTATTGCTTGTATAATTCCCTCACCCCTTTCTTCAGCAAGACTCCCAGAGCTCGGCCCAGTGCTTGGCTGTGGGTGTCTGCATCTGCTTCCATCAGTTACTAGATGAAGGCTCTCTGATGACAATTGGAGTAGTCACCAATATGATTACAGGAGATTGCCAGTTCAAGCACCCTCTCCACTATTACTATGAGTCTCAGCTGGGGTCATCCTTGTGGATTCCTGGGAGTTTCCCTGGCATCAGGTTTCTCCCTAATCCCAAAATGCCCACCCCCCAGTCAAGACATCTGTTTCATTACTTTTCCCCTCCATCCCACCCCCAACTCACCCAATCAGATCCCTCATGTTCCCACACCTCACACCATCCACCCCTACCCCCAGTTTACCCAGGACATCTCATCTATTTCCCATTCCCAGAGAAATCCCCCAGGCCCTCTTTGGGCCTTCCCTGTTACCCAGCATCTCTGTGGTTATGGATTGCGGCCTGGCAAAACCTTTCTTTACTCCTAATATCCTCTTATGAGTGAGTACATACCATGTTTGTCTTTCTGGGTCTGGATTACCTCACTGAAGATGATTTGTTCTAGTCCCATCCATTTGCCTGCAAATTTCATGATGTCATTGTTTTGTTTTGTTTTTTAACAGCTGAGTAATGCACTCTGCCTTTTAAAAGAGAATTTAACATATAGAGATATCAAATCAATGAAACAGTAACGTCTGGAGCAATCGTCACTCCTGGAAGTTTCTTCAACCTGGCCCTTTTAAAAACAATAGCTTTCCTCCTCCATTCTTCCTTTGAATTGAATTGATCTGTAGCAAGCGACACGAGCTACAACCATTGCTGGACCGTTCCTGGTGACAGTTCTGGGCTGAGGGCCAGGGCCACTTGTTCCTGCCTCAAGTCAGCATCCAACTTTGTACAGCTGCATCCAGAATGCGTATTCAGGTATGTGGGATGCACATCAGGGTTCGATACAAGCTGGCTCCACGGAGAGACTCTGGGGTCCCATCTCCTCTGTCAGTCAACGGCCGAGACAACTTTATCCCTGCATGTAGGCTTTTCCTTATTCCTCTTTACATTCCAACAGGCTTCCCTGGCAATGTTCTGAAAAGTTCCTTCCTAGAAAGATCTGGAAGCATCATGGAGTTCTTATGTCCATATAATGACAAACGAGTTCACGGCTGCCACTGGCTTCAGAGAATTTTCAGAGACTCCCAAGATTTTCTGTCTTGCAATCTGGTAGGCTTATGCTATAAGGAAGGCTGCTTCCAGTATGTTCCCTTCATGACTAAGGCATCATTTCCAGGCCATTCCCCTCCTAGGTTAATCTGGACCTCCAACTGGTGATGCTCATCTGGTGGGTGCGTATCAGGGAGATTCTTATTTATCATGATGGTCGTGTGGTGGTTTGAATGAAAATGGCCCCATGGGCCCAGAGGGAGGGGCACTATGAGGAGGTGTGGCCTTGTTGGAGGAAATTTGTCATTGGGGGTGGGCTTTGGGGTTTCAAATGCTCAAAGAAGGCCCAGTGTCTCTTTCTTCCTGCTGCCTATAAATCAAGATGTAGAACTCTCAGCTCCTTCTCCAGCACTATGTCTGCTGGCATTCCACCACGCTTGCCACCATGATGGTTATGCACCAAACTTCTGAAACTGTAAGCCAGCCCCAATTAAATGTTTTTATTATGGTCATGGTGTCCCTTCACAGCAATAGAAACCCTGATTAATACAGAAATCAATACCAGGGACTGGAGTATTACTGTGATAGGCCTGTCCATGCTTTTCTTTGAAGGCACATGGACTTTGGGACTTGGGATTAGAAGAGCAGTTGAATGTTTTAAGTGGACCTTAATGGGCCATACTAGGAACATGGAAGCCAGTAGCACTGGGGTCATTGGAACTGTGGAGGTCTGGCTCAAAATGTTTCAGAGGAGAAGAATATTAGTATATGGCCTAGAGGCTGCTCTTATGTTTTGGCAAAGAATGTGGCTGCTTTCTGCACTTGTCTGAAAAATCTGCCTGAGGTTAAATTGAAGAGTTGTGTATTAACAGCTTTGGCAGAGGAAGTTTCCAGACAGCCTAGTATTTACTGTGTTGCTTGGTTATTAGAGGCCACACACAGATTTATAATGAGAAAGGAAAAATACAAAATGTACAGTTTGAGGAGAAAAGGGACACCAGGCTGTGCAAACAGGCTAACAAATAGCCTGACGCGAAGTGGAATAAAGGGAGTGGTGACCTCAGAGCAAGGCTCCACCTGTAGCGATCAGAGGATACCTGGTGGGGGCTGACTGTCTCAACATTTGAACTCTGAGGCTCACACATGTCATTTGGCCACTCAGCAGCCACCTTCAGCAACCCCAAACACATTTTATATGTTAGTTTTATTTAGTTTTTTTTCCTTTCTGTTCTGGGAAGCCAAGCCAGGATTTTGAACCGAGTTAGACAGGCTCTCTCCCACTAAGCTGTATCCCCAGAACCAAGAAGCAATTTTATCAATGTAAAAACAGGCAAAGATTTATGTGAGTCATTCCACACATACAGCAGCAAATGAATAATATTTTTGTGTACTCAGAAAATGAATTCTTATTTTCCCTATGAGAATTTATCTTGCTTCAAGAATATTTTAGGCCTACTAGCTCTAATAATGTTCTGCAGATTCCTCAAGATTTTCTGCACATATTAATAGTGGACTAGTTCATCTCCTCATGTGTAGGGAGGACAACTAGACTATTACTGCCTATCACTTCTGGCAACTGTCCCCTCTCTGTCCTCTGTGCTGGACAGGCCTCCATTGCTCTATAGAGAAGCGTGCCTCCAAACTGCAGCTTGAGTGGGTTTCCCTCAGTCTGGCTAGTGCAACCTTGTGTATCCAAGTCCCAGAGACACACCGGCTCTGAAATAGATGACATGTACAGCTCACTGCTTGGTGAGTTGTCAACTAGCCTGAAGTATATGACCTTTCCCCAAATCTCATGACTAGGTGGCTAGTGTGTGTGTGTGTGTGTGTGTGTGTGTGTGTGTGTGTGTGTGTGTGTCCCCTTCCTCATCAGAGCCCAAATGAGCTTCCCTACACACTGAAAGGCCCAACTCCACTCAGTGTCTTCTAGACGGTAGGTGGCATCCCACACGCCCAGAATTAGGACCACAGTCAGCCATTTTTGATGGTGTAATGGTGATCTCTACCTTTGTCCATCGGAGGATTGCCAGTGCATCGTGAGCAGTAATACTGCATCCAATCCATTCTCCACAAACAAATGTATAAAATTTCCATGGCTCAACACTTCATCTTTTGTCAGTCACACTCAGAATTGTGGGGAAAGCCTGGCAATTCTTTATGAAAATGATCTGTTTATGGGCTGGAGAAGTGGCTCAGAGGTTAAGGGCACTGGCTGCTCTTCCAGAGATCCTGAGTTAATTCCCAGCCACTACTTGGTGGCCCACAACTGTCTAGAATGATATCTGGTGCCCTCTTCTGGCCTGCAGGCGTACTTGCGGATAGAACACTTTACAATAAATAAATAAATCTCAAAAAGAAAACGATCTGTTTAAGCATGTTGGGTGGGGTGTGACAAAGTGTCACAAGGTTCATTGAGTGTATACGCATGTCTCTGGACTCAGGGTGGGAGAGAATGGTGGACACCATTACAGTTAAGCTGGCTTCCTCCTGCTCTGCGTGCCCCTGATGTTCAGTTTACAGAGCAGAAGCCCAGGGAGAAAGGGAAACCCACATCTGTGACCCCCAGGATGTCCCTAACTGTTAGGGGTGCCACTGAGCACAGGACTGCCCATTCACACTTGTACACTTTGTTTTCCATGCCATTCTCTGCCACATCAGCAGTCTGATTTTCCCTGCTTCCAGGACAGCCTGCAAGGGTCCTCCCTTCATGTCCCACATGTTTGGCTCAAAGCTGCCATCCGCATGCTGACACAAGTGATTGTACTTCCCGGGGCATAGACTTCATGTCCCTGGACCATGCAATTCAAAATGAATAAACACCTTTTTATTAATATTAAAACCTAAATAACAACTCAACATTGAAAACATCAATAAAACAGAATTAAAAGGAATTGAAGGGGATATTTAAGAGAGGAAGAACAGCTTATACATAGAGCTGGTTCTGGATGGAACTCAGCAGGTAATTCTACTATCTGACTATATGTCAACATCAGGCAGAGGGGAGATAGGCTCTGGTGCACCTAACTGCACAACAGCAGGTAGAAATACCTGCCTGGCAGCTGGAACATCTGCAGCCACACCCGGAGGTTTTTGTGTATCAGCTGATGTGGGCAGAGGCTGGTCTAAAGGCAGGAGCTGCACAGGTCCAGCTTCTGGCACAGTTGGTTCCCTAGCTGCTGGGTCCATGAGTTCAGTGTTCTCTTGGGGTTTCAGATCTCCCTGTGGCCCTGCCACAGACGCTGGTCCCAGATCTCCCTGTGGCCCTGCCACAGTAACTGTTCTCAGATGCACTGTCTTTTGCATCCCTGAGGCATCCAGCATTGGGGCTTCTGGAGTTGTTGACCTGATGAGGCCACAATCTAGGACAGAAAGAGATGAACCATTAGTGGAGGTAGCCTGGAACCTTCCAGGATGCAGTGAGCTTCCCAGAGACTGCCTTGCTGGTCACACAAGGCCTGCTTATGTCAGACCATCTCTAGTCCCTTCTCCCCGCAAGCAGACATGTTACCTGACTGGTGTACACCTCTGGTTGGAGGTCAAGGTTTCTGGAGAATTCCCTCATGGAACCCAACGCAGAAGCCATGCCCCCCAGCCTTCTCATCTTCACAGCTAGCAGTGGTATAAGCTTCTGGACATGGATGTGGAGGTTTGGGAAAGGCACGTTGAGCCATAAGTAGACCAACAGCTTGTTAGGGGTGACCCAGACTGGAGACCTCTTAAAATCCTGGGGCACTTTTTGCATTCACAGCGCCAAAAAGAATTGTATGGCACGGCATGGGGGAGCAGGTTGGTGGGAAGTAGAGTCAGAAGCCTGGCCTTGCTGCACCAGCACAGCAGACCTCCCTCAGACGAGGAATGGGTGCCCAGTCCACTTGTTGCTGGAAATAGGGGTGAGGAGTGTGGGGTGATAGAGAGAGGGCTCTGGACACTTTCTGTCCCTTGGAGGACAGACTGGGCAAACTGGGGTGCACTGTGGTGAAGATGGATCCCAGTATGGCCCTTTAGCTTCATCCATCCCTCTGCTCCTCAGAACCAAGGAGACCATTGGGGATCTCTGCTTTTCTCCACCTGTGGGTGAAGTCTCTGGCGCTGTCCTCTATTGGGAATCCCAAGGGGAGGTGACTGGTAATGGCTTAGTCCTGAACCCTAGTCACCCCAAACCTCCCACTGTGCATATCTGGGCTCTTACCTCCTTCCCCGCCCAAAGCCCACTCACGTCTTTATATGTCCATCCTCCACACAGTCAGGCTGGAAAGATCCATGCCTGCGGCATTTCTTGAGGACAGCTAAGGCCATGTATCCCTAACCCACCCAGAGATCTAGAGGGAGCTACTTGAATATGGGGTAGAAATAGAAGCCAGGGAGGGGGTGGGAGTGCGGGGGGCTCTTTGCACTGTTCTGACTTCCAGGCTGAGGGCCTGGGAATGAGCTCATGGCTCTTCATGCAATGGGAGGAACCCAAGCTGCTCCTTTTCAGGTTGTACATGACTTCCTGGGGACTCAGCAGGGATCCTTGTCTGGCTCCATTGGTTCCATATAACCCAGATAGGGTCTAGAACCTTCTTTCCAAATGGGGAAAAGGTTTTGCTCAAGGCATAAGATAGAGTAGTGTCTGACACTTCTTGGGCAAAAGTAAATTTCCCAAACTAGATTCATCTTCCTGCCCTCAGTCTCCTGTCCTGTCACTTTAAAGGGGCAGACAGTAGACAAATGCTTCCAGGGTCCAGTTGCACTACTCCTATGAGAGAACAATCCTCCTAAAACCAAGCAAGGAGGCTCGAGGCCCTGAACTCAGCTGTAGCCACTGACATTTTCATAATGGGGTTCGGCACCTCCCAGGTGGTGGCACCAAGGACAATAATGATGAAAAATTGGTCCCTGGTTTCCACGGCAGTTGCTAAGTGCTTCATCACTTCCTCCCTGTAGTCTGGGCTGTTGTGACCAAACCTGAGGGGCTTAAGGTGGGAGTTCAGGCCCATTTTACCCCGAGGAAGAACCAAGGAAGAAAGCAGGTTTAAATGGGGGAAACTCTGAGAGGCATCATCAACCCATTACCACACACTGAAGAGTGAAAAGTGGGCATAAAGAATGTTCCTCAGTGTTCTCACAGGCACACACACCCAGGCAGGGACTGTAGTGGATCAGGGAGACCAGAAAGGAAACCTTGGCCTGCTTGTGTTACCTTGATTTTCCTTTGGAATAACGGCCAGAGGGTGCCCCCAATGTCTCCTGGTGTTTCTGTGGCCTGAGCCAGAGAAGTATAGAACACTTTTTTCCAGGTGAGTCAGTTGAATCAGTTGAGTCAGTTGAGGCTGCTGAGGATGCTGCTGGCCTCTGGTTACCTAGCAACCAGGAGTCCCTGTTACATCTGGACCACTTTTAAGGAAGTGAGGTCACTTCCTGGGGCCCTCCAGCATAAGTCTTTTTCACATAGGCTTTGCTAAGGGCCGACCAGGGCTGCCAACAACTCTCCCCCTGCCTCTCCATGTGTACAGTGGTACACAGTAGCATCCATATGCTTATTCCACACAGTGGCCTGGGGAGTCTGGCTTCAGCTTTGAGAAGCTAGAAGAGCTTTCCAAACTATTCCCTCTATGCCACAAGCATCAAAGGAAAAAGTAGTTTCTCTTAGGATCTTCCCACTGTCCTGACCTGCTCCCTCTAGATCATTCTAGTTTTGATTTCCTAGTATATCATCGTGTGTATATGATCACAGATTCTCTATACCTGGGAAAACCCATACCCCTGTCACCAGAGGTGAAAGCATAGAGACAGGTGCCCACGTCCTCACACCCACACTCTCACAAGGGCACACAGACCACCCACTTACAGATGCCCAGAAGCATGTCTGTAAAGAAAGGAACATGCTTAGGTGACCTTAGAGATACTTACTTAGGGTGAGGTTAGTGTTGGGGCTAGAGACAGAAGCAAACTGTCTGAGCTCATGTTTAGTCGTGCCTTTCCCTTTGATGACCAGGGTGGGCTCCTCTCCTTTTCTATGCATTCTAGTGTTTATTCCCTTTGGGCTTCCACAGGCAACAGTGTGCCTCTTCTGCATCCCTAGGCGCTGATGTCTGAGTCTGGTTTGCAGGGTTTTAACAACTCTTCCAACATTCGTTAGCCCAGGGAAAAGTATGAACTAACTTTAGGAAAACTTCCAAAGCTACAGAGAAACCTTGTCTCCAAAAACCAAGAAAAAGACTTTGGTAAAAGTTTCTCTATCTTCATTCTTCAATGACCAGTTCAAAATTCTTTCATATTTAAGTTTCAGGCTTGTTGATGGAAAAAGGAGAAATTTTAAAATTCTATGCAAAACCAGAAGGAAGGAAAAAGAATGGACCAAGTTTATGATCCCTAGATTTTTCATAAATACAAAATTTCATAGGTATATATGCTGTAAAGTGTCTAGGAAGTTAAAAGTGACCAATAGAGTTCAAAGGGACTTATGGGGATAGAAGTATGTATGGGAGGGGATATGCTCAATGTATATATATATATGACAACATCTTCATACATTATGTAATCAAGAACAATGATCATATACATAATTAAGAATATGTTCTGTTCTTTAAAATGATCATTTACATAATTGAGAAAACATTTTAGTTCAACAAATCTATCATTACTTTTCATGAATGAGTGCAATTAGGTGTGCAGTACCCATGGGAGTCAGAAGAGGGTGTTGAATTCCCTGGAACTGGGTTATAGGTGGTTGTGAGCTGCCATGTTGGTGCTGGGAATTGAACTTGGGTCCTCTGCAAGAGCAGCCAGTGCTCTTAACTGCTGAACAATCTCTCCAGCCCATTTCTGTTCTCTCTGTGGTCACAGCAGCCCATTGTAGAAACCATGATCAGTGTCCAGCAATTTCTAATTTCTTCTGTACTGTGAAAGTATTATACCAAGAACTGTAGTTTCTTTCTTTCTTTTTTTTTTTTTTTTGGTTTTTACGAGACAGGGTTTCTCTGTATTGTTTTGGAGGCTATCGGTCCAGCCTGGCCTTGAACTCACAGAGATCCTCCACCTGCCTCTGCCTCCCGAGTGCTGGGATTAAAGGCGTGCGCCACCACCTCCCGGCCTCTTTCTTTCTTTCTTAACTCAGCTCTTTGGGAGCCTGCCATCCAGCTCCACAATAAATACACTTATGAATACCCAGCCTTAGCTTGGCTTATTTCTAGCTAGTTTTTCTAACTTAAATTAACCTGATTTTCTTCTTCTACATTTTGCCTCTGGGCCTTTAACTTTCCCTATTCTATATGACTTTCCTCCTTTCTTACTTGGTGGCTGGTTGTGTGGCAGGGTGGCTGGCCCCTGGCATCCCCCTCTCCTTCTCCTTTTCTTGATCCTCCCTCCTCCCTCTTCTCCTATTTATTCTGTCTGCCTGGCAGCCCTGCAGATCCCTCTCCTGCCTGGCTATTGACCATTCAGCTCTTTATTAGATCAATGAGGTGTTTTAGGCTGGCACTGTAACACAGCTTCAAAGAGTTAAACAAATGGAACATAAAAGAATACAATGCACCTTTTCATCATTAAACAAATGTTCTACAGCATAAATGAATGTAACACATCTTAACATAATATTCCACAACAAAGACCCTCAAATATATTAGCAACTTCAGTTGATGGCCACACTTATTTTTAGCTTCAGCTGTGCAATTTTGGTGACAGGTCAGGGTGGGATTGGTGGAGCTGTATCCCAGGATGCAGGCCGGCTGCCCACCAGCTGGGGTCTCAAGGGTCTGAAGTCTTGCTGACTCAGGTCTGCCAGGGGATGCTATGCTGGCTGCCAGTAGGGACATCTGGGGTGACCCAGCAGAAGGCCTCTCAGACCCTGGCCTTAGATGTCACTCAAGCAGCAGGGCAGGGCCAAAAGCCCAATAGTTTCATTAAGGGGAAAAACAGTCCCCTATTGATAGGGGGTAAAAGATTCTAGAAGAAATATTCTTGTCACTTTTAGAACCTGTCTTAGTTTGTATGGGGCACATATTTTTTCATTTTAGATTGAGGGTTGCTAAACAATGCTCCTGAGAAACTCCACAAATTCTCTCTCAGCACCATGGGGAGGAAATATATTATATATTACATACATATGTACATACATACATACATACATACATACATACATACATACATACTGAATGCCTGTGATCCTTTCCTTAAGGATATTGTTCTTCCTCTTCTGGCCACTAGAGGACAGTGGTTCTCCATGGCAACACAAGGAGACCTTCTCTGACCTGTTTGATGGCATCACAGTGACATTTCATATAGGATGGGAATGGGGGTAGCTATTTAGGTGAACTCAACACAACAGGATTGGGCAGGGCTTCACTCCTAACTTGGATGCCCTTGATAGGCTGTTAAGATAAAATCCAATGTTGTAGCTTTGCATTTATTTGATACTCTGCCAAGCGGGTGCCTTTGTCTCTGTGAAAGGTGCTGCCTCCTGCAGAAGCATGAGCCATATCAGGACTGGCAGCTGATTTTCTGGGGCTCTGAGGGTGGTGGGGTAAGTGATGGAAGTTATTCAAAGGCAGATTTCCAGATAGCTTTAGCTTTACCAAGGAATGCTGAGGCTTGTCCTGTGTGCAAGGAGAACCAAGTCCTTCGTACATTCTGGGTGGCCCTGCATGACAGCCCCTTCCCAACCTGTTCACATGGAGACCATGTTCACTTAAAGTGTGGGTGTGAGGAGGTTCTGAGAGGTCAGGCAGCAGCAGGCAAGACTAACACCATTTTAGGCGGGACACCATCTTGAGAAGTTGCTGACTGGACCCTGCACCCAGTTCCTGGAAAAACCACAAACAGCTAAAAGTTGCTCCAGGGCCCCCACATCCTACTGAATCAGCCTGACACTGAGGAAACAGACATCTTATCATAGTCACCAGATGTCCCAATAGGTCTCCAGATGCTCTAATGGAAATTTCCAAATACTTAACTCCAGGGCCAATCTGACCAGGAAGCATCCCCTCTGAACTGACCAGAAAATGCCAAGGCTTGTACTCCCCTAGCCTACTGTTTTCCCCTTTATGAGTTCACTCCCCTGCTGGCTCGGGGTTGTCCCTCTCGCCTGCTACATCTGAGTGCTGCTGGAGGGCCTGAACTCAATAAACTCCTGTATGGTTGAATTGGTACCTGGCTCTGTGGTGGTCATGTTTTGGGGGTCCTACATTCTGGGCATAACAGTTGGAGTTTTAGGCCTGGAGCAGCATCAGTGGAAGGCCTGAATCCCAGCCCAGAAGCAGCAACAGGGGGAGGCCCGAGCTTCAGGCCTGGAGCAGAATCAGTGGAGCCATGAGCCTCAGATCCAGGGCAGTGTTAGAGGGAGGCCCCAGCCTCAGGCCCAGGAGTGAGGAGAGATTGCTGGGTGAGACAACAGCAGCAGTAGCTTCCAGAAACTATCACAAAAAGTTCTTCTGGGAAAGAGTACCTGTGTCCCAGCCAACATCCTCTGCCATTTCAGGGTTGAAGGGACCCCACTACTACACTAACACTGGACCCTCAGCCCCATCCACACCTTTAACGGGAGGAGTGTCCTCTGGAGCTGTAGCTCCATCTGTATCTGAAGGAGCCACCACCTGAGCATTGGGCCAACTTCCACCAAGAGGAGCATTCACCAGAGGCTCTGCTCTGCTTGTGCCTGAAGGAGCAGTCAATGGAGCCAAGTCCCCAACTATACTAATTGGAGAAAGAGAGACCCCCCTGAAGCACCAGCTCCACCTATACCTAGTAGAGAAAGAGATGCAGAGACGACAAGAACACACTCAACAATATAAAGAGCAACACGGCACCACTAGAAACTACTCGTGCTACAACAGCAAGGCCTGAGCATCCCAACACAGATGAAGTAGAAGAAGACCACCTAAAAATAATTCTATGAGGATGATTGAGGCCCTTAAAGAGGAAATGAAAAATTCCCTTAAAGAAATGGAGGAAAAGACAACAACAAATCCCTTAAAGAAAACAAAGAAAAAGCAATCAAACAAGCGAAGGAAATGATTCAATTCTGAAATAGAGGCAATAAAGAAAACATGAACTGAGGGAACTCAGGAAGTGGAAAATCTGGGTAAATGATCAGGAACCACAAATGCAAACATAAACAACAGAATACAAGAGATAGAAGACAGAATTTCAGGTGTTGAAGATACAATAGAGGAAATAGATTCACTGGTAAAAGAAAAATTTAAGTTCAACAAATCCTTAACATAAAACATGCAGGAAATCTGGGACACCATCAAAAGACCAAACCTAAAAATAATAGATATAGAAGAAGGAGAAGTCCAACTCAAAGGCACAGAAAATATATTCAAAAAATCATAGAAGATAACTTCCCCAACATA